CCACATAAATTAGGAGTGCGTGAAATCTTTGGGATATAAATTTAATATGCCGCCAGCGGCAGTGGCAAAAACACAAATCAAAAACACTTTTAAATGGGCACGTCGCTGTCGTAAAAACATCAGCGAATCGTAATTTGCTTCTTCCCTTTCTTTATTTATTGAATGTTGTTTAGTCGAGAAGGAGCCCAGGACTCGGGCATAAATCAAGCACGTGTATGCTGGCTTATCCTGGCGATATTTGAAGGACTTTTCTGGCTGCCAAGTGATCGGGGTCTAGGATCAGGGATCCATCCATCTCTTGGCCGACAGCACTTTGTTTGGCTACCAAAAAGGAGCCATTGGGTCGAAACCCAGCCAAAAGCCGACAGCAAGCTGAGCTTGAGGTGAGTGCACCTCGGTTTTCGGGATCCAAGTTGCATTTGCATGCCACTCACCTGTTTCACTTCTTTCACTTGCTTCACCTGTTCAGCATTTCGACTTTTACTTTTACCTTTTTTCGTTTGTTTTTCGTTGCATTTGGCTCGTTTTGTTTTAGGTCGTTGGTTTTCTCGGTTGCCGCTCGGTTTGCCTTGGCTCTAATTGAAAATATTTTTGTTTGCACTTCATTAAACCTAAACGGAGCAGCAAGCTGAGAGATATGCAATGTCTGTCAGTTCCATTTGGTTGCCGTTAAAAAGGAAAAGAGCAAAAAGTTTAAATAAATATGTATGGGGTATATGTAGTATTTGTTTGCACAAAGAGATGTCGACTTTTATTGTTGTTACCCACTGTCGAATTGTTGTTGTTTTAATCCAAAATGCAATCATTGAAATGCATTTTATTTAAGCTGCACTCGCTTATTGCATTTTTGCATACAAATTTTTGGGTGGAGTAAGAGCTGAAAGGGGTGAAGTGAAAAGTGGAACCCCCGAGCGACTTATTTTTATATGCTTACAACTATGGTGGAGCTGGGATCTCCTCCGGAAACAAATTCTGACCCTGTGTGTGCGACAGTGTATTCGCAAATTCAATGACAGTTTGTGCCTTTTGCAACTTTCAGTTGATTTTTTATTGTCAATCGAACAATAACGAAATCATCGGCCAAGTTACGCCAAACGCCACAGCAGCAGACTTCGGTTCTTCAATGGCAAGGGAAACTGGAGTGGGAATCTCGGGATCGGAATGGGAATGGCAATGTGAATGTGACGGTGACAGTGACTCAGCACGGCGAAAACTTTAAGGTAGGCAGAAGCAGCAGCAGTCCGGAATTTCTGACAGAAGTCGAGAGGAGCGTGCCACACCCCATCGGTGGAGATTTATATGCCCAGGCGATGTGACTCAATCAATGGCATTTGTGTTGTGCCAGCAGCAAAAGCAGCAAAAGGAGAAGAGCGGCTAAAGGCAGCAGCATCAGCCGGAGATGTCTGAGAATGGGAGCACGAAAGTCGAGCTGACTGGGGGGCAAATGGATCTCCTTCCCCCGGAGCGACGGTGGCAGGACATCAGACAGTCGGAGGGACATGCACAGCATTTTGTGTAAAGAAATCAAAAATTTATACAAACTTTGCACAATGAATGAGCAGCAACAAAGCAGGCGGAGAAGGCTGGAGGAGCAGGAGCAGCAGTTCCAGGAGCAGCCGGAGGACGAGTGTGTCCTACTGTCCTGCCAGCAATTGCCGAAAATTGTTGCAGTTCGCCTCGCTCGCTCCTTGACAAAAGGCAACAACAGCAAATGGAACATACATACACTGCACAAAAAAAAAAATATGCAAAATGAAATTATGAGATTTGTTATGTTGTGTCTTCTATAAGCAATACAACTTTCTTTTAATTTATAAAAATCCGCGATTTATATAAATTTGATTTTCATTTAATATGCAGATTCTTGTATTACCCAAAGCAAATTACAAAAAACACACGATATATTAACCTTTGCCTTTAACAAAAATTTTCAATCTAAAAGAAATGTGGAAAATATAAAATAAAAATTGTATTATGTTATTAAATAATATTATAAACATTTTTTTAATCACTAATTGAAAATTGTAGTTTAGAAGAAATCTTTTTGGTTGGTTTTGGTTTGGAGGTTTAAATAACAAGAAATTTTTTTAAACCAATAACACAAAACGTGTTTTAAAATTTTTTTTAAATACGTTAAAAATCAAACAAAAAGCAATATTTCTCCCACTGTGGTCACTCGCCAAGCAGCCTGACTTGCAAGTTGCAGCAGCAAACAACAAAAGTGGGAGCAAGGACAGCTCGGCACCGGACAAAACAGCTCCAGGATGTGTGTAGGTAGGTATACCCAAATATAGTGAGGTATATACATATATGTACATCGGTCGGTTATTCGGTGTGCCGGGGCCAGTGCAGACGAATTAATTAAAAATTCCGAAAATATCCGGTTAGCTCTTTATAACAATTTCGTGCACAATGCCGAACTCATGCTGCATTCGACAAAAAGTCGTTCGCCCACCTTTGTGTGTGTGTTGTGTATGCTGTTTGTGTGTGTGGGAGTGCATCCTGGCCAAGGAACTTTAACACGGCAGAAATTTTAAACTTGCCATGCTGATGATGTGCTCCCAGGCGCCTCAAGATGGCTTCATCTATCTGGCCGACAGCCATTCAAACTATTTTCGTTTCGGCCGTTTACCAGGCAATCTACATAAATGAATTCATTTGCTTTGCCTTCCACACACATCTATCTATCTGTATATGAATATATGCACAATAGAATGCAGAGTGTACGGGTCGTATACGCAATATTTGATATTTATGCTCTAATTGAGGGTACAACCCGGACCTGAACTTGGCTTAAAGTCATGTTTGTTCACAGAAATAATTGCTGCTGCCAAAGAAAAAGGGGGTGAGCAAGGGGAAATGAACGGAAGTTATTTCGGCATCGAATATAAAAGGGAAAAATCATTTTTCGAACAAAGTAAAAGCGGAAAAAGGAGCAAAAATAGAGAACGTCCTGTGCCTGCGAGTCGAACGGCCATTTGGCAACAAAAAATGACCGGAATGCTCGTTAAAACTAAAAACAATTGACCACATAAATTAGCGGCATTAAAATACCGAAAAAGGGAGGAATGGCCAAAAAATGGCCCAAAGGCCGGAAGGAAGTGCGAACGATTGATTCGATTAATTGCCAAATTAAAAAGGGAGCATTTCAGCCGCAAAAAGGAAGTGAGCTGGGGAAATAAAGGGAGAGGAAAAGGAATGAAAGGGAATGTTATGACAATGTTAGAAAACCAAAAAATAATAAATGATGAGGAGGAGAAGCGAAAGGCAGTAACCGATCTGGGCTGACACAAAGTGACAGGCGCCGGGGGCCTCACTGGCACAATTGAATTTATTATGGCATTTCAACTGGGCGAGAAGAGCGTCAATTGAATGAAAGTGGACCGCAGCCCACCCACCGACCTTCCGCCCTCAAACACACACACATCCTCTATAGAGGAAAAGAGCCAGAGAAAGCTCCGTTGCAATAGCATCATTATTGGACTAAACCGAAACTATTTGCCTCAATGGGCCACAAAGCGCCACACGACGACACGCCAAAGGACTTTCAGCCGAGGAGAATCGAAAACACAGAGAAAACGGAGGGAGAAAGGACATACAGACAGCCAGGACTGCAGAAAGGACATGGACATGGAACCCACATCGCCAGCGAGACAGTCCAATGCCCTCGGGGTATATTTTTCGCCACTTTCGCTACGGCCAAAAGTGTTGACTGTCTTTGATTTTGTTTGTCTGCCTGTTTGGCTAGCTGGCTGGGTGGCTGGCTGGCCAACTTTAAGCCTCAACCTCATCCTCCTCCTCGGTCGACCAGGTCGTCGTTGCCCCGGGGGAAAGGGCTAACACCAGCAATTACACTCAGTTTTGTCAATCGAGCTAAAGTTCAGAGAGGACGGCGCATAATCAGCAAATGAATCATAAAGCAGATGGCTGATTCGCTCATTACAGTTTGTAAATCTGATCTTGTTGTAATTACACAATAAGAAAGTATTTCGTTAAACCAAACAACTTTTTTTCCAAAATTAAGATGTGTAACTTATGGCAAAGTATGGATTTTTTATTTCGTCGTGTTTCTGTGAAATATTAAATTCAAATATTTAAAATCGAATAATCATAATTATTTATAAATTTTATAGTTTTATTTAATTATTATATATTATTTTGTCAGAACTTAAAATATATGAAAATTGCATCTACAAAAATAACTTTATAGTTTATTCCCGTCAAACAAAATCCTGGCAATTTAAATATCTAGGATTGAAATTTTCATATTTTAAAATCCTTTTTTTTCAATTTTTTTGTTGTTTTAGCTGCAACATTTTTGTTGTGTGTAGAGTAGAGCCCGTTAGCAAACGCATTGTGGCTACAAACAAATTACAAAATCGGCTAAACTTAAGCCGCCGTGTTGCGTGCAGTTTATGACTAAAGCGCTGCCTGCGGATGCGCTGAAATCCTGGCCACTGCAATTGGCTTTTTCCCAACCGCACTCACGTGCAGCCTCCCCACACACGGGATCACACATTTGGTGGACGCCAGGGGAAGGGGAAAGCGACGACCCACTCGTCTATCGGCCAAAACAAAGTTAAATCGGCCAAATCCTTTGACCATGTCACACTTTTATACATAATCGTTCGTCGAGCACGTGCAGACAACCGCAATGTTGTGCGAGGACTACAAAATAAAAAAAAAATACGAAAAAAAAGAAGAACAAAAACCGAACACAAAAACAACAAGAGCAAATTACAGCAGCGGACAGCGGACAAGAGCAAATATTACGTATACGTGCGTTCAATGTCCTGATGGGGTTGAAAGCAAGGCCAATAATGCAAAAGGCATTAACAGGCCCAGGCACTGGTTTTCTGCCATAGCAGTTATTGCCATTAACATGGCTTAATTAGCCAACTGGCTGTAACAACACCGGCTTAAAGCATAATTGTAAATATTTCCGGACTTGCACAAACCAGAACACAGCTCTCTGAATAATGAAAAGGGGCCTGGGGCAGCTAGGCCAGCGATCTGAGGAGCGTTACGTAGGATATAGCACTGCGCACAATCTGTGGGTGAGAAAGAAAATGTATTTAAATGAAAAAGGCATAGGTAAAATATTTATAACAGAACAAATTTGGTTATTATAAAAATAGTTATTTTAAAACAAATTATTTTGGTGTTTTTAAAAATTACTTATAAATATATCTAAAAGTATGCAGTAAGAATTTCTTTACAAAAAAAAAATATACTGTTGATTTAATAAGAGTCTGTTGTTTCTGGAAAGCATAAATATTTGAATATAAAATTATTTTGGTGTTTTAAAATTACTTATAAATATGTCTAAAAGTATGCACTAATAAATATTTTACAAGAAAAAATATTATTTTGTTGCATATTGTTAGGCACCATTAAAATTGATTTAAAAAACGTCCAGCTATTTCTCGAAAGCATAAATATTAAATAATCTAAATTTGATTGGTTTAATTTTGAAAAATAATATTTCTAATCGTTCTTTTATCCATATTTTTTTTAAGGGTTTTCCTACCATTACAAGTGTCTGCCGATTGGCCTCGAAGAAGTAACCATCGATGGGGCATCCTCTTCTCGACCGCATCATGGCTATCTTCAAAGACCTCACAAGCTGGCTGTTTTCCTCCAGAAGATTAAGCCAGTTGCTCTCGTAGATGGCCTGTCCGAAAAGCTGACTCTCCGTATTGACACTCGATCCGCAAATGCAGTAAATGGAAACCTGGCCGATAATGGCTGCCGTAAAAGCGGCGTAGAAAAGCATGGCTGGCTGAAGGAGATGGGCAGATAGTTGGTAGCACAGGACACACAAATGCAAAGAGGCCGCCACAAATTGGGCGAAGATGAGCGGCCTGAAGAATCCATTTAAGGAATGTCCCAGTTGCAGACACTCTTCATATAAACTAAATATGTGCACCAGGTTTTCACGTGTCTCTCCAAGACTTTTGCCCTCAAAATGCATCATTTTTTCACGGGAAATCTTGAAAAGAGCACAGAGATTGTGGCTCAGAGAGCAGAACAGAGTGTCCACGCAAACGGTGGGCAGAGCCACGCCCAGAGCAGCACTTACACACCAGAAATATGAAACGAAGTAGTTGAAAATATGCGTATTGTTCCAGGGATATCTGTAAATTTAGGATTACTCTTCTGGAATTACTTTAGTATATCTTTCTTACACACTGGGAAAGGGCAAATCCGGCTGCAGTTGGCCTGTTCGATGGTAGCTGACCAACATGGACAAAGGTGACATCAGACAGGCTAAAAACCCGGCCGTCACAAAACAGTAGCTGTAAAGGGCACTGATAAACTGATCCCGATGGTTTTCGTTGGAGACAATTTTTTTACCGACTTCCCATTGAATTTCTAAAAATTAAAATGCTTCAATACTAATTACATTTTTTTTTGACAAATAAAATATTTTAAAATAGTTTTACGTATTAAATAAAATATTTAAAAATTTTTAAAATAGTTTTACCACGCTACTTTTTACTAAAACTAAAAAACTGATTCATCAAAATCCTCAGAAAATCCGATTTATTTTTCACAGCATAATTTTAGGAAACTTTTTTGGTGATTTGAAAACTCATTGGTTGTTGTGAACACACAAAATTGATGAAGAAATTAGTCCAAATTAATTCATTGATGAAAACTCACCCCTTTGCAGGATACCTTGAAATTGCTGTATAAGAAACCTAAAGTCCTTGTATAGCCACAGAAATAAGCCGATCTTGCAGAGGGCCAGCAAGTCGACAAGAACCGAGCAGAGGGAGTCGGTTAATTGCTCCACATTTTGGATATTTCGTAGGCCAAATGCGATGGTCAGAGGTAAAAAGGTGGCCACCGAGAGGATGCAGCAGATGCTTCGCCGGGGATATCGATGACTGACATCCAGCTCGTCCAGCAATTCCAGACCCAGAAGGCGAAAGAAAATGGACTGCAGTCCAAGGAACTTATCCGTCAGCATGTCGAAACGAGTGAGAAGTGCTGAAAAGTGAATGAATCCTTTATAGGAAACTTGCAGCTCATTAACGGCTAAGTAAAATCAATAACCCATTAGATGGTATTTTATTATTTAAATTCGAGTGTCTTCAACCTTCAACCTTTTGCGAGCCTGAAAATGAAGTGGCGGTTGCAGAAGTGTCCTTTGCACTAGAGGGATTTAAATGAATGCATCAGCAGGAGGATTGTGAGAAGCCCTCTAATGTTTGCACAATAAATTATACTTAATTAAAAACAATTAAAAGCAAATTCCAATTGCAGAAGCAGAAGCAGCCGTCAAGCAGCCTGTGGTGCCGCAAACAAATCTCTGAGCCACTGCAAATATTTGGCAGCAATGCTAAGCAAAAACTAAAACAAATCCTAGCTGCATTTCAAATGTGAAAACTTTTGTTTGCTCGGCTCTTTTTGCTTTTTGCTCTTCTTTCCTCAGTTTCGAATTGTATGCAGCTGTTTTCGGATTCGTCCAACATTTCAGGGTTTTAATTACTGTTAAGCCCGAGACTTTTACCGGCTATCGTATCGGTATTGTTGTCGTGGTCAAAGATCACAGCCAAACAACAGTTTCTGCTGCAAAGTTTTGCCATCGTTTGGTCGGATAATTTAGCTTGGCAAAATAAATTAATGCAATTACATGCTCGGCAAATGGCTGGCAGCTTAAGAACCAGGTCTAAGTGGAGTCATAAAGTACACAAACACAAATTGAGTTCAGGACAAATGCCACATTATTAATTCGAATTTCGAATGTGTGAATGTGAATGCCGAAGTGGGTAAATCAGAGGTTTGCCTTCGATTCTATTTACTCAATTATTAACCAGGGCAGCTTGAGTAATTAATTAAAAATTTTTACCTAACCTACAGAATGGACTTCCCTTGTAAATTCTCTGGGGAACGAACAACTTTGGCCTAGGCGCACATAAAACAAACATTGACACACTGACCAGGCAGCCCACCAAAATGGAGTTTATATATTTTCAGTAAAGCAAAACTTGCTCGAAACTCAGCTGGCAGCTGACAGAAGGAGAAGGGGGAAATGGAAATGGAAGGGAAACCTTGCTGGGGGGGAAACCGAAAACTGTTGAAGAACTTTTTCTTATTCCCGGCATTGTTATTACCACGTTGATGCTGCTGTGTTTCCATGGCAGCAGCAGCAGCCGCCTCTCAACGAAACTCGAATTTCCTTTTTACGGAGGCGTGAAATATTCGACTTAAGAACTGGCAAGAATTATAATACTCGAGCCAAAGTCACTTGATAACTATTGTTTCGGGTCTTAGTTAGCACTTATCAGTTCATTTGTTTTGAGGTAAAAAACCGAAGGAAAGGTGTGTTTTATACACAGAAAAAAAAGTTGATAGGAAATAGGGTCAAATTTATCTTATTTTATTAAGCCGATATGATTTATGTCAAATTTATGATTCAAGCATATCAAAATAATATTTTATCATATCATTTAAAATACCAAATTTAGTATTTTTTGAAAAAAACTGTAAAAAAGATAAACTTGATCTTTAAGGAATATAAAATTGACCAGCACATATCAATCTGATCTTTTGTACTGTGTAGGGGCTAATATATAGGGGCAGCTTTAGGAGGGTATCCTTAAATTGGTGTTGAACTGCGCTCGAGTTGAAATACTTTGCCATTTAGTTGTTGCATCGCCCGGACAGCAGTTGAATCCAAAATGAAATACTTGATTTCAGCCTCCGTGGGATTTGGCCTGCAACTCCGGAGGAGCAGTGAAAACTTTGCCGCTCTCTCTCGCAGGAAGTCAACTTGGCAGGGGACTGCGACTGCTACGGCGACTAAAAGAAAGCCTGCGAAAGCAGTTTGCTTAAAATGTTTAGTGGAAAGTGTTTTAAAATACATTAAAAAGTTCACGGCTGCCCTGGCACGCATTGAATTTATGCGAATTTGGTGAACTCCTTGAGTGGAAACTTTTTGCATTTGCCGCCGCCGCCTCTGCCGCCTTCTTCCACCCAATCAACTTAAATATTTGTTTAGCTCAAGTACTTTCGTGTGGGGCCCCCCAGCCCATACCCTATATCATTCCACCTTTGTTGGGGCATCCAGAATCGTACTTAGACAGTTGTAATTAATGCCCCAAACCGAGAACGAGAGGCGGGAAGCTTTGTATCTCCTTCGATGGTAACCGTATCCCCACTTCAACTTCTTTCGAGCATGATTTTTCGCCCTGAGCGTGTTTTCATATTTGCTCCTGTCATCATTTAATGAGAGATATTTTATTTCCCGTCTCATATTTATTGGAATATTACTGGTTTGGGTGGGGCCCTCGACTTTCAATACCTGTAAAAGCGGTTGGTTGGTTGGTTGTGTGTGCTTCTGTTTATGCCACGATTTGATACGCTCGAGGAAAACTGTCGAATTCGCAAATGACGAAGCCCTATTTAGATCTCTGGAGGCACTTTTGTCTAGGCCCCCCGGAAAACCGAGGCAAATGGAAAAGTATTTTTGCAAAACAAACAAGTCGCAAGTAATTTGTTTTTCGCCCCTTCCATCGGAAACCAATTTTCGTGGGAAAACAGGCCATCCATTGCTTCAAACCTGAATGTAAATGGTTTTATTTTTTTCCATTTTTCCCCTTTCTTTTTTTTTTGTTTGCTACAGCTAATTTGCAAAAGCTGATGCAACTGTTGAAATAAGGAAATTACATTAACGCCAGTCATTTTTGCGATTGCCATGTTTCATTAATAACAAACGCCTGTAAATAATTGTAACAACTACGGCCACAACTATGCTATAAGTCAATTAAAACTTGTGGGGAAAATAAAGAAAAATATCCTGTATTTTAAATACTCTATAAATTGAAAAACGAGGAATAAAACATTTGATTTTGTGCCAGTAAATGCAATTATTTAATTTAAGAATATAAAACCGGTTGAATAGGTGATTTTTAAATATTTTTATTTTATTAAAATGATTTCATAAGTTTTTATCTATGTTAAAAATATCAGTTTTCAGCTATATTGAGCGTTCAATCAAATTGTGCTGTATTTTTAATTATGAGCACGATATGCAACCTATCACCTCTCCGTCGCCGTCGAGAATATAATTTGTATATCCTCCGATAGAGTAAAGCTACGCATGAAAAGGTATGAAATGCATTTAAATTAATAATCAATTTAAAATACAATCGCTTACTGGTTGATTGAGGTGGAATGTGCGGGGTAGCGACATCAAAACAAATGAGAAAAGGAATTTCATATTGAATTAATGCAACTAATGAATATAGCTCGTGCTGTTCATGCAACGTTCATCGTTTGCAACGCAGATCCCTCGACAAACAAGGCCCGATAAAATGCAGAAAAAGAGTTTAATTTAATTTGTGTCAGAGCAAAAGAGCCAACAACGCGGACATGGAAAATTGTATTAATCAGACAAATAAGTGTTCGCTTTATTTTATGAATAATTAAAAATATTTATTGCCCTGCCCGTGGCCGAATGCGAATGTGAATGTGAATGCTGATGAACTGATGAACTACCCGTGGCCAGAGGCGGTAAATTGACTTTCCGTCAGTTTGCCCACTTGAGGCACAATTGCATAATCAAATCCACAACTATTCAATTATGTTTGTGTCACTCCAGTGACACACAGACTGAGCCAAAGCATCGTGTGAGAATAATTCGGCCAAGACCCAATCAAAGCCGAATTTAATTGAATTTAATTTAATGAATATCAATATCGAATATTCTGCGTTCAAACTCGATTAAATTTACGCCACGCCATGGCCCAAAACCAAATACCCAAAACGCCCCCATTTCGACCAAATGGAGCCATCAACGGGCCACGACTGAAACGAGGGACCAAAAACGAGTCCCAGACGGAATGAAATGGAAAAAGGACATGCGCCACGGCTCCTGTTTCATTTCCATCATTTCCGACGAAGGATTACTCTTCCATAAATCCTAAGAGAAAGCAGTTCTTATCAGCCATAGATTAAGAGCAAATCCTGGCCAGCAATTAGACATCTGTCAGCGTGTTGACCCACAGGAAATACTCGAAGAATTCCCGACAGCAGCTGAGGCACTCCATCATCCCAGGACACTCCTATGGGGACTCCTAGTCTCCTCCAACTTCACACGCTTTTTGATGACCATAATGACAACAATTAAATATAAATCACCGCGGAGGAGCACAACATGCCAAGGATTTACCTACCTTCACCCTCCATTTTTTCTTCACACCCACGCACGCATACAATTAGCTTTTATGGCCGCGGGCCCAAAGGAAAATGGCGGCCATGGCCCTGGCCAATGGTAATTTGAAAATATGGTAATTATGAAGCGGCTTTGTATAAGGCAAAAAAGCAAAAAAACACTCTGGATAGGGAGAGCAGCCTCTGGAACCTCTGACACCGCCGTTGTGTCTGTTCTAATTAGGCGCACATAAATTGCACCACAAACAGGGAGAAGAAGCAAAACAACAAGAAGCTTCAACAACAAATCCTAAATAACAATTAAAACAATTTTCCAGATTAAAAACACCTTACAGCCAATGCTTTAATATTTTAATTAAAAATTCCTTAGCCTCCGCAGCGAGCGAGGTGTTGGTAAAAGTGTAGAAGTGGAGCAAGTGGAGAGCCCCCTTCACAGGACCCTTGAGCGAATGAGTGGTCGAGTGTTCCCTGAATGGTCTCTGGAGGCCTATGACTTTGAATTATTGCACGGCGAGTCATAAATTAAGTGCGTGGCCCTCCTGACCCGGCTGAAATAACATGGGGTATGGTATGTTTTGGGGCCAGTTGTCGATGGTGGCAGGTGGCCAATCAAGCTCCCGCAATCCCATTAAGCGCTTTTTAAGGGTTTTCTTAATTTTAAAATTTGATTTATCAAATGTTTAAACACTTTGACCACTTTAGTAATATTTATAAAAAATAATAAATGCATTTAAAGATTATTATATAAATTAGGTGAGTTTTTTACCAAGTGTAATTATATTGTATTATACATGTATTTGAAAAATATTTGGTAAAAACGGAAAAACTATTTATATCGAAATAAAAAACCTCGCAAACAAGAAATAAAATTTATAAAAAAAACCGTCTAACTTAAACACAATTTCTGAAATTTCTTTAATATGTAAGTATTTATTCAAAGGGCAAATAAATAAAAAATACAAAATGATATTAAAAATACAACATAAAGGATATCTTTATTCTAAGATTTTTTATGTACCTTTTTCATTGAAAAGTTTTGGTACTATTATTTTGAAAATATAAATATTTTGACATGTCATGGATGGAATCCATCTAGAATCTAGATTCTAGATCTGTATAAGGAATAAAGTTCACTATTTTGCTCCACCTAAACAAACCTGTTGCTATTTATATCAAATTTACAAGAACATTTCCCGCCATTATCGCTGCTCTTTCGCTGAAATATTCCAGTAACTGAATTTAAAGACTGAAATCGGTGGGCGGAGAAGGTTTTTTTTTGAGCTGGAGACCTTTAGACCTTCATAAATAAACGCGGCAAGTTCTTCGCGGGGAGTTGAATCCTTTGCTTGCAAATCTGGAGATGGAGATGGGGAGTGGCAGGAAGCACTTCTCAAGTCGCTGTTGTGGCCGTGCAATCAAATTCAGACATTTGGAGACACTCTCACCGCCCACTTGCGTTGCTTAAGTGTCGTAAAGTCAAGCCAAGGATTCGGGGGGGTGGTAGGAAAAAAAGAGGAGTATGGGCGCAAGGACAACAACAAGTGCGGCTTTTATGATTTATGCAACTATCGCCTGCAGCCAGAAGTGGGTGGGGCAGGACTCCAGGAGAGCCATTGCCAAAATCCTTGAGAGAGCCGCTCGAGGCGCGTAAATTCTTTTCTTGCTCGCCTCGTTTTCTTTCCCTTTTTTTATTATTATTTTTTTTTTTGGACATACGTCTCAGACTAAGCGGCTCGTGGGGAAAGTGGGAAAAGCGCTTCAAATTGTGCAATTTTTATGGACGCAGTGGGTGGCAGGGGGCGGCATTCATGAATAAAAGATTTTCCGATTCACCCCGACACCAAAACCAACCGCCTTCTCGTCCTGTCGCCCAATTTATTATGCTGTTGGCCTTGCCGAGTGCAAATAATAAGCAGCAAGTGCACAGCCACGCCCACACAATTGTCGAGAAGGGGGCGGTCTAAGAAGGTGTGGCACTGCTGAAGAGGGGCGAAGAGAAGGGGCTCCAAAGGCGAAAGGCCTGGAAAATTAGCAAAGCAAACGCTCGGCTGCAGTTTACTTGCCATTTAAGCGCCGCACTCGACAGCTGTGTTTGTCAGTGGCACTTGCAACCAGAAACCAACTAGAGCAACAACAACACCGGCAACTTGCAGCCTACAAAAAGAAAAACTGCACACGGAAAAAAAAGATAAAACTATTTTACTGCGTACTAAAGTATTGGAGTTTCTCAACAACATTTATAAAAAAATATCAAAAAATATTTTAATATCAATTTATATTTAAATGCATAAACTTTTGATATTAAAAAGAAGAACTTAGTTTATACATTCAAGATAAGGCACCTAAAAGTATCCAAAATTATATTTTTAGTCCAAAAGCAGACTATATTTATAAACACAATTATAAAAATATATCAAGAAATATTTTGAATATCAAATTAAATATATATAATAAAAAGAAAAATTTAGTAACGAATGATATTTTTTATATATTCAAGGTAAGGGCACCTAAAAGTATGCAATAATATATTTATTATCCGAAAGCTGCTGTTTCATTCCAAATACAACGTTTTTTAGCTGCATCTACCTTTATAAGGTATTTTACACCCTAACCTTTAAAAAAAAATGCTACTCTCGAATTAAATTTCAATAAACATTTTTTCCCGAGTGCAGATTTCGTACCTACAACCTGCAACGACAGCCACAACAGGCCAAAAGTTGCACTTGCAATTTTATTATTTTTCTTCTTTGGCCATTGTTTGTCTCTCGAAACCAGTCTTCGTTCCTAAAGAAACGCATATAAAATCTAAGAATATTATGCAAGCCCAGGTCAGAGGGTTTATGTACATATGGTAAGTTCACTTGGCAATTAGAGAGTTCAAACAACTAAGAAAATTGCTCTAACAATAAATCTTAAAGTTGATTACACACCACAAAAAAAAAAGAAACAAAAGGCAGCTGGAATTTTGTACTCCCTTTTTTCGTCGTAATTTTCTAAAATAAAAGCAACCAGTTGTATTCAATAAGTAAGCAATCTAAAAATACAGTGACGTTTACCTTTATTAAACGGACTTTGTTACAAAAACTTGGTGGTCGCAATTTATACAATGGTAATTTCGTGTAAATGTAGGAAATTGGTGGAACAAAACTTCGGTCAGCCGCTGTTGGGGATTCAACTACTGTCTAGGATTGGTGTGATTAGTTTGATTAATCGGAATCGGATCGAGCCGAGGACTTCTTTGATTTTTTATGCTTGCGCTTCTTGTCGCGATGTCGATCCTCCGTGCTGGACTCTCGTTTGTTCCGCGTGGTTGCGACATCGGGTTTGTCCTCGCCTCCGACTGGTGTTTCTATTCCCGCTCCCACCGAACCCACTCGCTCCTCGTCCTGCAGCTTCTTGATGGTCTCGGCCTTCAGGCGCTCCAGCTCGTTGAGCTCGCGGGTCGTGCGCTCCTTGTCCATGTCATCCTGGCGCTGTTTCTCCAACCGCCGCTCCTCCTCCTTGGCAATCTCATTGCGCATGTGCTCCTTCATCAGCATCGCGGCCTCTGCCCGCTTCTGCATCTTCTCGCGGGCCGCCTTCTCGCGATCCTCGTCCATGGGCAGTGCGGATGTGAGCTTGGGCAGTGGACTGCGCGAGCGGCGACGGCGGGAGCGACTAGTTGAGGGACTGCGACTGCGCGACGAGCTGTGCCGGCGTCCGCGGCTGCGCCTGTTACCGGAGGATTCGCGACGCCTTCTGCCATCCGACTCCTGTCGTCTTGAATCCTGGCGTCTTCTAGCAGGCGAATCTTTCCGCCTTCTGTCGGGGGTTTCCTTGCGTTTTCTTTCTGGCGAATCCCTGCGACGCCTGCCTGGTGAGTCCTGTCTTTTGGCTAGGGAATCCTGTGGCTTCCTACCCGGTGAATCTTGTTTTTTGACCGGAGATTCATGCCGTTTTTTGTCTTGCGACTCCTGACGCTTTCTGCCTGGCGAATCTTGTCTTTTCACAGGTGAATCCTGTCGCTTTTTGTCAGAATCCTTACGCTTTCGCCCTGGAGAATCCTCCCGCTTTTTGCTGGAAGATTCAAGTGGCTTTTTGACTTCGGAATCTTCTCTCTTCCTATTGGCAGAATCCTTGCGCTTTCTACTAGGACTTCTTTCAGGGGAATCCTCACGTTTTTTATTCGAAGAAGCCTCTCGTTTTCTGTCACTGGAGTCCTCTCGCTTCCTTTCCACCGAATCCCGTCGCTTTCGAGCTGGTGAATCTCGCCTCCTACTCTGCGATTCCTGACGTTTTCTGCCCGGCGACACCTGACGCCTGTGATTGGGCGAATCCTGCCTGCGTCCCTGACTGCGGGAACGCTGCTGACGGCGGCGATCTCCGCCGGCAGGAGAGCCCCTTCCTCTGATGGGTGACAAGGGAAAACGATTGCGGTACTCATTATCCTGTGAGCGCGAACGCCGGCGTCGATCTCTGTCTGCAAAGGGATTCCGGCGATTGCCGCGTTGCAACTGATTCTGATTCTGGTTGGAACTTTGACCAGGACGCCTGGCGGGCGAGCGCTGCTGACGACGAGAAGGAGACTGGCGACGCGGACTTCGAGAGCGAGTGCGCTTGCCCCTGGCTTTCTCCTCGGGTTTGCGATCTTCGCGCTTTGAATTTCGATCCTTGCTGGTCGATGACTCCGCTTTTACATCCTGCTTGGTAGGTGGTTTCACCTTCAGTTCCTCGTCTTCGGACTCGGCTTCGCTTTCTGTCTGCTGCTCGTAGTCCAAAGCATTCATGTCCATCGACTTGCGGCGCTTGAGAGGAGTCATGTCCTTTGCCTTATCCTTCTCGCTGGCCTTCTCCTTATCCTTGGGCTTGCCGCGATCTGATGTCTCCTTCGACTTGTTTCTATGTTCTGGCGATTGTTTATCTGGCGTCACCTTGCCACCGTAAGTGCTGGCATGGGAAAGCTCAAAGAACGACTGCTTAGGATTCTTGGTGGCCTCCTCGTGGCGACGTTTTCGCTCGTTCTCGCGACGCTTCACCTCCTCCTCGCGCATCTTGCTCTCCTCCTCGATGCGCTCCAAATCGGACAGCTTAATGGTGCGCTTCTGGGCATGCTTCCAGTGGGGCGGCGTATTGCTGCGCGATCGACTGCGCGAGGGAGTGCGAAAACGCTGGAAAAAAGTTATTAATTATAATATAATAATTTAAAATAATTATAGAATAATTTATAAACTTACAAACACGCCACGACCTTTGACAATGCGTCCGCTGCGCGATGTGGGCTGTGCCTGTTTCTTGGACCAACCAAAGTTATTGCGATTGCGGTCTCTATCCTGATCTCTGCCTCGATCGCGATCTTGTCCTCGACCTCCACGATCTTCGCGTTCTCGGGACCTAGATCTCTCACCGCGCATTAGAAATTTGTTCGATACCTATGTAAATATAAAAATAAGTATAAGACAATTCTATTTCACTTAGCAAATTATTTTGTAAAGTAAAATGTTAAAAGCAGATAGTAAATAAGCCACTCCAGGAACGAATTAAATGAACCATTGTGTTTGCAATAGTAGAATGTAGTTAAGAAATTTATTTATGTTCATCAACTTAACCAATTGTGACTAGCGTACTAATTTATAAGTATTTTTTGTACTTGTAGCGTTGGGGAGAAATAAAACCAAAATTAAATTAGCTTACCTCTGGTATCTCGTTAGGATCTATCTTAGTAATTGTGACCAGTGGATGGAGTTCGCCCTCCTCGCGCTCCTCATCGTCATCCTGGGGATTTGGGTCAGGTTTTCCATTGCCCCGTCTTGCCTCATTACTATAAAACAAGGTCAAACAATTATAATTTAAGAAAATCACATAATATGACTATTATTCCCATTTAAACATACTCTTCGCTATCGCTGGCGTTTGTCTCCTTGCGGCTGCGCTTTTTCTTTTTCTCCTTGCGTTCCATCTTGACCTCAGCCTCGCTTTCCTCGCTGTTTGTGTCGTCCGTGACCGTGGAGCGCCTCTTGCGCTTCTTTTCCTTTTTGGCTGAGATATAAAAGAAAATTTCAATTAAAAATATTACATTAAATTATAAAATACTCGTACCCTTTGTCTGTCTAACTAGTTCCCCACAGTTGGCTATGGCCGCATCCTGCAGCGGCCGCGAGTTCCGATCGATGGGCAGATCCTCCAATTGTCGCACCAACTCCTGACCGGAAATAACTTGGCCGAATACAACATGGATACTGCAACAGGGAAGCAAAACCTTAATAATCTGATTTATAGGTTCAATTAATGATCAACTTACTTGTCCAAATGTGGCGCAGGCTGTGTTGTACTACAATGAGAAACAGAAGAAGAGAAAAATATTCTTTACACTTTGGCTAACTGGTTGGTTGTTGGGCTGCAGTAGGCAGTTGTAGTTGAAATCGATGTTGTTGGCTGTTCAGTTGCTGTTTGCTGTTTGTTGTTGTTGTCGAGGTGGTTGGTGTAGACAAACAATGTCATGTGCAACAAAGTTAAAGGATTTTCAGGGTGTGGCAGAGGCGGCACCACCAACCACAAGAGCCGCTAGAGATCCAGATCCCGGTCAATTTCCAGGATGAGCCGAGAGAGACCAAAACACAGAGACCAAAGACCAAGCACCAAAGACCGAGCACCAGGGAGCAGAAGGACCGGCTCCTTCTTTCACTTGGTTTTTGGACCCACTGGCCGAATGCATTCGGGGATGGTGGATATGCGGGTGCATCAGCCGGTGGTGGACAGAGGGATCTGTCCGCTGGTCAGTGGGACGCAGGCACACTCTACTGCCCACGGGCTAAGGCTAAATGGCAATAGATTAATGAACAACAACAGACGTTTAAATATGGGTAAAAAATAGAAGACGAAGAGAAGTTTATCTGAATAGTCGTTGCCTGAAACTGAAACTAAATTTACGGCGCGGGATTAGTTGAGGCCCTCGGTGCAGAGCACTTACATAAAGAACTGCGAGCCATTGGTGTTCTTGCCCCGGTTGGCCATCGACAGCAGGAAGGGACGATCGTGCTTCTTCTCAAAGCACTCATCTAAAATAAGAGGGAAGTAAATTTTAGTTAATTCTTTATGTAGATTTAATAAGAATAATATTCTGCATCAACTACAAAGGTAAATATCTCATGACACGCCTTAAATACATAGTTAAAAGTCTTAAAAACCCTCAAAATGAAATATCTACTAAGAAATCCAAGTGATTTAATACTTTTTAACACCCTTTTTAATGAGTATAAGAATTGGATTATTGAAATAACCGATTATATATTTGCATTTCTGACATATTTTCTTCTTATCTTCAACCTAAAAGTATATTTAGCATCATGTAGACGAACTCCCAGCTTTCTCACTCATTCTTGATGGAAATATATGCCAAAATGTAAATTGAAATTGTGTCACTATGAGAAATAAGAACTTATTTTTAACTTTTTCAATAGATCTCGTGTGTATGTGAATAAATAATGGACATCATAACCATTCCAAGCTTTTGTACTTAAATTTTACCTTTCCTAGCCTCGTTAGATTTAAGTGGATGATTGCGGTGTAGTTTCGGGACCAATGAGTTTAATTGGATGGAACATTTTAAAAATTTAATAAGGGGGATATAGTTCTGGTTACTAGATACAGTAGTGCCTACTTACAGTATATACAAAATATATAATACAATATATATTAAAACAAGATAAAGTTAAAAAACAGTTCAGATCGGCTTATGATAAAAATTTAAGTTTTATTTCTAGCATGAAAATCGGCATATTGTAATTTTTTTCGAATTTGTGAAGGTATATTTTATAATAAATAAATCAAAGGATTTTTAAAGGTATTTTTATTTATTTTCCCATAATTAACTTTATATTATAGCTGTCAAATAAGTACAGTCATACACTTTTAAATTAATAAATAAAAACATTTCTCCATAAAGAGTAGGGTATTTAAACTTCTGTTATCCCAGATTTGTTTTGAGTTCGTCTTATCAGACGCGCACTGTATTGATTTTTTTCCCCACCACAAATGTCGGCAAATGTGTATTGTATGTATGTATGTGTAGTTTTTAGGGACCCGGAACGAAACTCACCCTCGAATGTTCCGCCGTAGATGGACTCGCCGCCGGTGCCGTTGCCTGCGGAAAAGTCGCCCGCCTGGACCATGAAGTCCTTGACCACCCGGTGGAATATCACCCCCTTGTAGTGGAGCTTCTTGCCGGTGACGAGGCCCAATCCCTTTTCCCCCGTGCACAGCGCCCGGAAGTTCTCGGCCGTCTTCGGAGCCACATCGCCGTACAGCTCGAAAACAATGCGGCCCACGCCCAAGCCGCCCAGCGAAATGTCGAAAAAGCACCGCGATCGCGTTGCGGCCGCGTCGCGCTTGTTCACCGTCATTATTTCCGCCGCTTTTTGCCAGTAAATGCAATTAAAATACGTATTTCTCTTCGCCCGTTTTCGCGTTGCACAATGTCGGCGTTGCCAACTCGCTTCAAAATGCAAAGGGTGCTGTAGGGCTGTGCTTGGGAACACTAAAAATACCATGCTTTACAAAAAATACTGAAAACCATGGCATTTGTTGTATGTTTTTATTAACGCCTATAAAAATAAATTACAAAAAATTATTTAATTTTAACCAATTTGTCAACTTTTCTTTGCTTTTAAAAAGCTTAAAACCAGACTTTTCCATTTAAAAATGATTTCTAAAAATAAATGAGTTATTCCCATAACTGTTGAATTTCGGAAATTTCATATAATTTTATGAAATAGTTATGTCAACTCTGTAATTTACTTTAAAATAAAACTAAGGATTATAATTATAGTTTTTCATAACTTTATAACAATTTTAGACAGTAAAAAAATACTTTAAGTTGGTTTCCTCTACTACAGAGATTGTTGCTATATGTACCTCCGACAAAAACCTGACTTATACGCTTCATTTTAAAATAAGAATATTTACGCCTAAAGTCGTCTAGACTAATTGGAAAAGCTACATATACTTATTACAAATTCTTTATCAAAAGCAGTTTGCAACACAAGTTGTAATTTTAGTTGAAATAAACATTTTAAGTTATTTGACGAAGATAGAGGTTATTGAAGGTTCGGGGTTATTTTCTCAGAGAGGCTTTTAAAAATTAGGTAAATCGTTAGTAAGCTTAATTGTTAAAATACAACATAAAACCAATTTCAGATTATAAATAACCATGGTAGTGCATATATTTTGAGCCATAGTATAAAATATTCGATTTTAGACAATTTCTTGATTAATGTTAATTTACATAATTTGAAGTTCTTTTTGTACTACTGTACCTATGTCGTATAAATGTACATTCAAAAAGCATCCACATAAAAATTGCGCATTCCATCCCTCGCTCGCGTGCGGTCACACTAAAAGCCAATGTTTACATGGTGACTCGCGCGTGGGAGCAACTGTGTGCGTGCGAGCGAGCGCGCAGTCGGCGCAAGTGTGAGTGCGAGCGGGAGAGCGCGACGAAGACGTGTTCTTTTGGGCAAGGCGAAAACTCAAACTCAAATAATTCGTTTTATCAGAGAAAAACAACGAAAAAATTCCAGCAAGTGTCGCGATAAAAACACGACAATCGCATTGCAGCCGCGGCAGAAGCGAAGAATCAGCCTCAGCTGACCGGAAAGTTAACAACGTAGCGGTGGCGACGTGGAAAATCATCAGAAAGTCACCCAAAAAATAATTTCGCAAAATGTGTGGCATTTTCGCTTACCTAAACTACTTGACGCCGAAATCGCGACAGGAGGTGTTGGATCTCCTAGTGCAGGGATTAAAGCGACTGGAGTACCGTGGCTACGATTCCACGGGCATAGCTATAGATGCCCTGAATTCCGGGGAGGAACCATCATCCATACTCCTGGTAAAAAGAACTGGCAAGGTGAAGATCCTGGAGGATGCGGTGGCCGAGGTTTGCCTGGGTCAGGACTACTCCCTGCCCATAGATACCCACATAGGCATTGCCCACACGAGGTGGGCCACCCATGGCGTTCCCTCCGAGGTCAACTCGCATCCCCAGAGATCCGATGAGCAGAACAGCTTCGTTGTGGTTCACAATGGGATTATTACAAACTACAAGGATGTCAAGACTCTCTTGCAGAAGAGGGGCTATATCTTTGAATCCGACACCGATACGGAGGTCATTGCCAAGCTGGTCCACCACCTGTGGCAGCAGCATCCCGGCTACACCTTCGGCGAGCTCGTGGAGCAGGCCATCCAGCAGCTGGAGGGCGCCTTTGCCATTGCTTTTAAATCTAAGCACTTTCCAGGGGAATGTGTGGCCTCCAGGAGGGGTTCACCACTCCTGGTAGGGATCAAGGCCAAAACCAAGCTGGCCACCGACCACATACCCATCCTGTATGCCAAGGCCCATCGGCCACATGGTCAGCCGCAGGCGCAAGCCTATCAAGTCCTGCCCTCTGGCGATTGCAAGGCGGAATTTCAGCCCCTGGAACGCAAGGAGGTGGAGTACTTCTTCGCCTCGGATGCCTCGGCGGTGATAGAGCACACGAATCGGGTGATTTACCTGGAGGACGACGACGTGGCGGCCGTGAAAAGCGATGGAACGCTCAGCATTCATCGGCTGAACAAATCCTCCGATGATCCGCATGCCAGGGAGATTATCACGCTGAAAATGGAGATCCAGCAGATCATGAAGGGCAACTACGACTACTTCATGCTGAAGGAGATCTTCGAGCAGCCGGAATCCGTGGTGAACACGATGCGCGGCAGGATGCGCTTCGATACGCAAACGGTGGTGCTGGGCGGGATTAAGGAGTACATACCGGAGATCAAGCGCTGTCGTCGTTTGATGCTGATAGCCTGTGGGACATCCTATCACAGTGCCGTGGCCACCAGGCAGCTGCTGGAGGAGCTAACCGAACTGCCGGTGATGGTGGAACTGGCCTCGGACTTTCTGGACAGGAATACGCCCATTTTCCGGGATGATGTGTGCTTCTTTATCTCCCAATCAGGTGAGACAGCCGATACGCTGATGGCTTTGAGGTATTGCAAGCAGCGCGGAGCCCTCATTGTGGGTGTGACCAACACGGTGGGCAGCAGCATCTGCCGGGAGTCGCACTGTGGCGTTCATATCAACGCAGGACCCGAGATCGGTGTGGCCTCCACGAAGGCCTACACCTCGCAGTTCATTTCGCTGGTCATGTTCGCTTTGGTCATGTCCGAGGATCGCCTGTCGCTGCAGCAACGCCGGCTGGAGATCATCGATGCGCTGTCCCAGCTGGACGAGCACATTCGGACCGTCCTGAACCTGAATTCGCAGGTCCAGGAGCTCGCGAAGGAGCTGTACCAGCACAAGTCGCTGCTCATCATGGGCAGGGGCTTCAATTTCGCCACCTGTTTGGAGGGAGCACTGGTAAGGAAAGGGGGAAACTGTTATCTACTTCCGTTTCCCTACCATATCTCCTCTAATCTCACTTATTAGTCACTTAAATGCAGTTTGATTATGATAAAGCTGGATGGAAAATTACTAAACTAGTGTCAACAATTTAATTAACTTGTTTACTGCATTATGCTGCACACAATGGTCAATTTGATAAAGATCATGTTATTCTTATCATTTTGATATGAATAAAGATCATGTTAATATTTTTTTATATTATTTGCTCAAAAAATACTACATTTGGTACTTTTTATATCATGCTAATATGTTTGAATCTTAAATTTGACAATAATCATATCGGCTTTTCATTGATATGAAATAAGGTAGAAATAACCCAATTTCATATCGTTTTTTTTTTCTGTGTAATGCTGGATGGAAAATTACTAGTCTGAACAATTTAATTAACTTGTTTACTGCATTATGATGCACACAGAAAAAAAAATAGTAATGGTTATTTTGATATTTTTTCAGGATCATGCTATTCATGTCATTTTGATATGAATAAAGATCATGTTAATCTTTTCTTATAGTATTTGCTCAAAAAAAACTTCATTTGGTATTTTTTATGATATGATAAAATATCATGTTGATATGTTTGAATCTTAAATTTGACAAAATCATATGAAATAAGGTAGAAATAACCCTATTTCATATCGGTTTTTGTTTCTGTGCAGTAATTGTATTTTCTCCGAATTTATTGAAGTGCGACATTATCTTGGCAGCCGGCAATTCAACTAATTTATTTGTTTACTCAAAGTTATTTTCCCTCCATCATGCTATCTCTTCCAAGAAGTTTTCTAATAAATCTAATTGAAAAATCCCTTGCCTTCCAGAAAGTCAAGGAGCTGACGTACATGCACAGCGAGGGAATCCTGGCTGGAGAATTGAAACACGGACCGCTGGCCCTCGTGGACGATGAGATGCCGGTGCTGATGATCGTCCTGCGGGATCCGGTGTACACCAAATGCATGAATGCCCTGCAGCAGGTCACATCCCGCAAGGGCAGACCCATCCTTATCTGCGAGGAGGGCGACAACGAGACGATGTCCTTCTCCACACGATCGCTGCAGATCCCGCGGACGGTGGACTGCCTGCAGGGAGTGCTCACCGTCATTCCGCTCCAGCTCCTCTCCTACCACATCGCCGTGCTGCGCGGCTGCGACGTGGACTGCCCCAGGAATCTGGCCAAGTCGGTGACCGTGGAGTAGGCACCACAATTATCCTGGCATTGGCCGCATCAAGAATTCCATTTTAGTATCTGCCTGAAAAAATCAAATCCCTAGGACTTAAGTTGAAATCTTTTGGTATTTTCACGGATTGAAAACAAACATTACTCTACATTTAACCCGCTGTCCCCCTTCCGGCTGGAGTCGGTCCTGTTAACCCCCCCACGCATTTTGTAGCCCATACTGACCCCTTGTGTTGTGAAACTATTACTTTTTGTGAATGTGCAATTGAAATATAAATATTTCCAGATTTTCTCTAAAAACTAACTTGTTTTCTTATTAAAAGAGAGATTTCCTTACAAAATACATTTTATTTGTAATTGACAGAACAAAAGCTTCTTAAAAATCTATTAAATTCTTACAATTTTTTGTTGGGAAATTGAAATATAAATATTATCTTTAAATATGACTTGTGGTGAAATGGTGTTGTGAAATTTATTTCATGGGTTTATAATATAAACTTTATATAATTTAAGCAGTGGAATTTTACAGGTGCAAACTACAATTGATTTGTTTTCGTAAATAAATAAGTTCTTTTGAATACAAATAAGAGGGATTCCCAGAAAACCATTTTAGCAGAATGAAAATTAGATAAGAAATTATTTTAATTAAATATTCTAGAAATAAGATTTGTTTTCGTAAATAAAAAAGTTCTTTTGAATACAAATAAGAGGGATTCCCAGAAAACCATTTTAGCAAAATGAAAATTAGATAAGAAATTATTTTAATAAAATATTCTAGAAATAAAATTTGTAATTTAAATTCATAAATATTTAAAAATTTACAAGTTAAACTTTATCAATATAGTCTTACAATTCAAAATGATATTTATTTATTTGTTTAAAATAGTTTATTGTTGTTGACGACAATTTGTTGTATTATTATTTATAATATTATTTTCTTAAAATAATAAAAGGTTTAAGAAATAAAATGGTTCATAAAAAGATAATTTAAATTTTGTAATCAAAGAAACTAAACCAGATAACCACGTCACGTTACTGCTGTAAACGTAAGGAATTATAGATTACGTTACGTTGAACACGTTGTAAGACCTACTCAAATATAGAAATTAAAATAACAAAATAAATATTTATGAATGATTTTCAAATTTTTTCAAACTATTCAAACCATATTTAAAGTTAGGATTCCTTAAAAATAAATAAATGACCCTGTGTCTCAGGTCGATTGTTATCGATATATCGCATAAATTATAATATTAAATTCGAATTATAACGTTGGGCGGGTGAATTAAATAATATAAATTATTTCCCAACTAACCATTTGCCTTTAAAGAAATCGTAAAAAACATTAAAATTAATAAAAATATTAAGCAAAAACAGTTGCGATTCCATTGTGCCATCTCTAGCAATCGCAGCTATCGCCACACGCGATACATATCGCAGCGCAACGCGAACGAATTGAACAACAACCCTGCTCTTTTTCTTTTGGACCCGTAGAACCACATGTCTGGTAACCGATTTTGATTTTCTTTTCGGCGGTATAATGCTCCAATTAATTGATTAATTGCGGTTAATTGACAACACCAGTGAACGGCGAAAGATCGGTGCGACCAGAAACGAGTCGAGTGTGTGTGCGATTGCCAAAAAACGCGATAAATAATATTCGTAACGTTCTGCCCACCAGCGCGTGAGTGAGTGCGAGCGAGAGGCAGCGAGTCGAGTGTAGTAGTGCGAAAGTGTGTGTGCGAGGAAACCCGCAAAAGCAAAAGCAAAGCAACAATAACAACACACGCACGCACACACACACACCCACATATTCACACGCGGAGCTGAAAGTGCGTAGTGAATATACAAGCGAAAAAACAGTGGGAGAGAGAGCGGAATAAAATCCAAATTCTGGTTTTCATTTCATTTTCTGGTGCGTATTTAAATCAAATCTGTTTGCAAGTGTGTGTGACCGCGTGCATCTTTTGAAATTCGAGGCGAGTTGCAGGCGAAATCAGCTGTTTTTTAAACCCAAAACCAGGGCGGCACTAACTCAATGCAGGCCGTTAAAGTGCATTTGTTATTGCATAATCTCAGGCCCAGAGAAAAGAAAGTGTTTGTTGTTGTATTCAGAGGATAGTAGTGTAAACAAGTCGTATAATTTAGTATTGTTTATTATATCTGGCCTGCTACTCTCTTCAGTTTCCTGTCATAATCACCTAACGTTAAACGTAACGGACCCAACGTAAGGCTTTGCTTGACAAGTGGTCAGCACCGTTTAGCCAGCCCTGGTTGCGTTACCCACTCTTCTTCTTCCCATACGTTCCTACTACTCTTCTTCCTCTTCCTCTTGTGTGGGGCAAAAATCTAACCTCACTTCTTCTTCTTCTTCGCTTGAATACTCTGCTGTGTGGCTGCTGCATAATAATATAATACCTCTCGATCCACACGATTGGTCGTGCCTCGCTACGGATTTTCTCCGCCTCCAAATAGTATATAATCGGGCAAAATCGGTGGCAGTAAATCCAATTCGCCAAAGCAGCGTGACAGCAACGGAAAAATCAAGAAAAAGGCCGCTGGGGAGAGGCTTTTTCCGATGGCCAGTTCTTGAAAAATCGCCGCACTCCTCGGGAGGCTTTTCTGCAGTCCCCACAAAAATAATCCCCATTGAATATAGTACATATATTATCACAAGTTCAAAGTGCAGTGTATGTGTATGAGTGTGTGTGTGCTGTAATAGTTGCATTAAGTAAATAAATATTATTGCGAGATGGGCGAACTTGAGATTAATCGCTGTAATTGAGCAACAAACACCTCGAGTTCGCTAAACTCGCAATCCTGTAGAAAATACACTAGTAAATACAGTAGAGATAGGCTAAAAGGGAATTTTTTGTAGGAAAAATAAATAGTTTTTAGGTACCAAAAATTGTGTAACGTAAAATATGTGGGTACCATACATACATATATGGATTTTTATTTAAATTACGCTTTAAACTTTGTATGAGATTAATACTGACAAATTTCTGGTCTTTCTTGGAATTTTAGAATCTTTTTAATATCATAAAATATTTCAAATTATTAAAACTATTTTTTAAGGAAACATTTTCCATAGATTTAAAAAGCTAAATTACTCGTTAATACCGAATATCATTCAAATTTCAACAGTAGTATTATCTCTGGTTTCTGCAATCAAAAGTTCTAGAACTTTAAATAAAAAAATGTATTAACCATTATAAGGTTGTAATATTATTAGAATAACTAATTTGTAGATTATAATTTAAACAATTGATTTGAAAAAGTCTTAGACTTTAATAGTAAATTTTTCTTTAGTCGATTATGCCTAAGAAATCAGGAAAGATACTTTCTTATGATTATTATACCTACTTAAATTCGACAGACCGAAAACCTAATTCGATTTTTATCTTGTATCTTGCAGTTTGGAAGCCGATCTCTCTCGCAACCGCTTCCCGTTGAGCAGGCAAGGAAGCAGCCAAGAGTTTCCCCTGACCCGACAACGAGGATCAGCCGCTGACGAAACCGGAGCAGGAGCAGCGGATCTGCTGCCCACTCTGGAGAGGAAACCGGAGAGGAGTCGAAGAAAGCGCAGGAGTAGCAGCCGCAAGTGAGGAGCATGTCCAGCAAGGAGGAGACGCCGACCACGGGAGGAGCCGCTCCAGTGGCCACCGCCGCCGTCGCCGCTGCGGGCAGTGCCGCCGCCACCACCTCGTACGCCAATGTGGTGCAGAACCTGGACACCAAGAAGGCCACCGCCGCCGCCACCGTGGACAACAAAGAGAACCAGCCCAATCTGAAGAGCTTCAAGTCGTGGAGCGAGGAGACCGCCGCCGCCGAGGCAGCCGCCGTCGGGGAACCCCAGCAGCTGGCCCAAACGGGGGAGAAGCGAGCGGCAGCCTCCGGAGGAGACAACACCGCCGAGAACTCCTCGGAACTGGACGACAACAATGACTTTGTGCCGGTGCTGTCCCATCATCGACGCGATCGCAAAAAGGCGCGCAAGGAGAAGCCGCGCGATCAACAGCCGACGACCACCGGAGGACGTGGCGATGGTCAGAAATCATCCCAGCAGGCTGGTGGTGGCCGTCGCATCGCCGCCGGTTCCTCTGACTCCGATCGCAAACCGCGTGAGGTGAGGCCCCGTGCTCCACGCGGCGGAAGTCCACGCAAGGCTGCGCCAGGAGCTGCGCCATCAAGTGCTGCATCTTCAGGATCTGCCTCCTCAGGTGGACAGAAAGCACACAAGGATCGCAAGGACACCTCGCCGAGTGCCAGCATCGAGGGAGCCGGCAGCAGCGGCAACGAGGCCAAGTCCGGCGACGGGGATCAGTCGGCTGGTGAGAAGGGGGCAGCTGGAGCAGCTCCGCCACCCAAGCGATTCATTGCCGCACCACCGCCCAAGGTCAACGCCTGGAAGGTGAGTGATTGAATAATATTTTATTGATTTTACAAAAGTCCTAAAGGGGAGAATTGTCTTTGTATTTGGTATAGGATAGAATTATTAGATTCGTGTTTATAGGTATCAAAAAGATGTTAAATTGAGTACACGCATGATATCATAATAGCTGGGGTTATTCCTCTAGGTTTACGTTATATTATGAGTTAACAGATTGACAGATCTGTTTAAAAAGTATTACATAGAGCAGAGAATCAGATAAGAATCACTAAGAATTGCATTTGCAAAAATGATAAACTTTGGGAAATGCAAATAAAAAGCTCTATTAAAATGGAAAATATTAAAAAAATGAGGGCAAACGTTGTAGTAACTAAAAAGGGTTTTTTATGGATACTGTAACGAGTTAATTAGGGATAGAAACGTGCTTTTCAAGAACTTTAGACATACTACTTAGAAATCTCGGAAAAGTAACGTATAAATAAAGATCAAGATAAGCCGCGCGCCATAAACCCAATCTTAAGCATTATAATCTTAAGAAATATGATGTGATATGGAAAAATCAGATTGTAATAAGCTAATATTCACTGTAGAAAACGATAAGATTTATGTTCTTTTAGGGATCCTAAACCTAAACCGAATCTTAGGCATTATAATATTGAGAAATATGATGTGATATGGTAAATTCAGCTTGCAATAAGCGAATACCCACTGTAGAAAGCGATAAGGTTTCTTTTTTTTTGAGGGATCCCCAAAATGAAGTGCACGTTTTTTGTTGTTACTCGTATTTCTGTTTCTCCTTCATTTTGTTGTTTGTCCAAATTGCGTCTTAAAAATGATGGAAAAACATGTCCATTTATGTATGTATGTATGTGACCACTATTTCGTTGTGCATATGTGTGTGCGTGCT